CTAACCTAACCTAACCTAGCTAACCTAACCTAATATTACATAACCTAACCTAACCTAATCTAACCATACCTACTAACCGAACCTAACCTAAACCTAACCTAACCATACTACCTGTGAGTTACATGGAGAGAGTTTCCGGGGGTCAAGCCCCAGCGGCCCGGTCTGAGACCAGGCCTCCTGGTGGATCAGAGCCTATAACCAGGCTGTTTGCTGATGGCAGCAACGCAAATCCAACGTACGAGCACCACTGCCGGCCTGATCTGGAACTGACTTTTGGTGCTTTGTCCAGTGCCAGCTTGAAAGACTGCCACGGGGTTCTGTGTGGTAATCCCACTTATGGTGGTGCTGGGAGGCGTTGAACAGTATCGGGCCCTGACACTTATTTGTATTATGGTCTCTTAACGTGCTGTGACCACCCTGCTTTTTCATTGGGGGGAATGGTGCATCATTCTGCCAAGTCATTTTGCTTTCGTAGTGAGTGATTTTCGTGTGCAAGTTCGGTACTAGTCTTCTAGGATTTTACAGGTGTATATAATCATGTATCTTTCCGCCTCTTGCGTTCCAGGGAAGACAGGTTTAGGAACCTCAAGCGCTCCAATAAGTGAGGATGTTTTTATTCGTTATGCGCGCCGTGAAAGTTCTCTGTACATTTTCTAGGTCGGCCCTATTTCACCAGCTTGAAAGGTGTTGTTAGTGGTGCCAGCAATATTCAAAGCCTTGATAGAACAAGTGACCTGAGGTGTTCATCATGGCGTGGCCCCTCCCTAGTTTTTTGAAGGTTCTCATTATCCATCCTGTCATTTTTTAGCAGATGCTCGATTGATACAATGTTATTGGTCCTTGAAGAGGTGAGATCCTCCGACATGATCACTCCAGGTCTTGACGTTGGTGTTTCACTCTATTTTGTGGCCAGAATTTGTTTTGTACTCTGATGAGATTAATTTCATCTGTTTACATTATCTGAGTATTGAAATTTTCTCTTCGTTGAAGTATTTGTTTTCTGCAGCCCACTGAAAGATTTGGTTGATGTCTGCCTGAGCTTTGCAGTGTCTGCATGGAAAGACACTGTCAGGCAGGATTCGGGTGTCATCTGCAAAAGGAAGACACTGTGCAGTGGCTGACATCCTTGTCTATGTCGGATATAAGGTATAGAGGAACCAAGATGGGAGCGAGTACTGTGCCTTGTGAACAGAGCTTTTCATACCGTAGCTGCCTCGGACTTTACTCTGTTGAAGACTACTCATTCCGGAGTTCTTTGTTAGTGATGGAAATTATAGGATCCTGGACCGCTTTTCCTGTTTTTCCTTTAGCACGTATTTTGTGCGCTATTACGCCATGGTCACGCTTGTCGAAGGCTTTTGCAAAGTCTGTATATATTACATCTGCATTCTTTTTGTCTTCTAGTGCATTTAGGACCCTTGTCGTGTGGTCAATAGTTGATCGACGTCAGGAGCGAACTGTTCTAAACCCATGTTGCACTGGGTGTGTAACTGATGGGTTTCTAGTGCAGTGGTGATCTTGCTTCTTTGGACCCTTTCCCTTTTATGTTTATGATATGGGATGTTAGTTGCTATTGGTCTGTTGTAGTTCTTTGCTGTTGCTTTACTGCCCCCTTTGTGGAGTGGGGCTATGTCCTGTTGTTTTTAGTAAATGTGAGACGACCCGAGTCAATGCGTCCCTCTCCATAGGATGTAAAAGGCTCCGTGATAGGGGCTTCTTCAGTTCTTGATGAAACACAGAGTTCATTGAGTCTGGCCATTGGGCGAGTGCATGTGCATGTCATTTATCGCCTTTCGAAGTCATTTGGCGCTTCAGGAGAAACTCGGATAGGCTTGTGTTAATCAAATTTTGTGGGCTTCTCATAAAAATTCATTTTGATCTTTCGACTCTCAGTATCTGGTTAGCGGGGCTCTGCTTAATAACTGAAGTCATTATTGGGATTGAGTAGCTCACTCATTTCCGTGCTGTCATCTGTGTAAGGACCCAGATTGTTTAAGTTGGGGCCCAATACTGGACGTTGTTCTGATTTTGATTTGGCATAGGGAGAAGAAATACTTTGGGTTTCTTTCGATTTCATTTATGGCTTTTAGTTCTTCCCGCGATTCCTGACTCCTAATGGATTTCTTTTAGCTTAAGTTCGATGCTTGCTATTTCTCTGACCGAGTGTTCCCTAGCATTTCAGTCTATATTGACCTCTTTTAGCCGATTGTTATTCTTTTCCGTCGCCTGTAAAGGGAGCACCAGCGCCTGTCTCTTTCTGTTTTACATCTACTCATCTCTTGTTTATCTAGAGGAATTAAGGCCCTTGTGCATAATCGAGTGGCCCACCGAGTTAATCTGTTTAGGCATAAGTTGGGGTCTGT